TGGGATTGGGCATAACCCTATTACCGCCATACTCTATTGCAGTGACAAGTGAATAAACACTCATCTTCAGAATAACATATCTAGCATGAAAAAATATCGGCCACCCCCTGCCGCTTCATGAGAGGTACGGACACACAAAAATGAAATTCATTTTAAAAATTAGAGATGACACATACAAATTTGCTTAGAATGGCACGAAAATACCGCATATAGGTAGGTATGGTGGACTCTTATGACATAAATGGTTTAAAGAATTTTGGATGTACAAGTAGTATTCCCACTTAGTACAAGGAAAGGCTAGCAAATAGATTGATAAACATCCAACCAAGAAACAAAAATGCACATAAACGAGCATTGAACATAACTAACACCGAATAATGCACCACAAGTAGGAAGTAATTTCATTGCATAACTATTGACTTTCGTGCTTGCATAGGGAATCACAAACCTTAACACCAATATTCTTACTAAAGCATAATTTCTCACCAACATGACTCACATATTACTATCATCATATCTCAAAACTATTACAAAGAATCAAGTTTATTTTGTCCAATGGTCTTCATGAAAGTTTTTTATTATATCCATCTTGAATATCTATCACTTTGGGACTAATTTCATATGTTGCAATTGCTTTTGACAAGCTCAAGAAAATTTAAGTGAAGACCCAAAAGAATATTAAATGTTTTAAAAAAATCCATTTTTTTGTAGATGATCATGCTAGTGTCGCAAGAATGCTTGACAATTTTCATGTGGAACGGAGTAGCGGTATTTCATTGGTAAAAGAAACAAATTTGGGGAGACATTCGGTCTTTGATTTATTTTTTTATTGCGCAGGCTAAAATGGTTAACATTTTTGCCTTAAAATTTACAGGTAGCATTTGTATGTGACAAAGATCACACAAACATTTTATCTCAATTTTTTTGACATTTGAAACAAATGGCCCCGGGAGCACACCGGGAGCCAAATTGAATTTCCACAACCTAGCATACTAGATGAATAGTAGAACATGCACAGCAACACCGCACATGTAATGGCAAACACAAAAAGAAACATGAACAAATCACGATGAACGCATTGTTCGTTAATAGCTGGAGCTGTTGTGAGCGACATTGTTGATGATGATATTGACAACGATCTACTGCTGACGGTTGATACGTCTCTAACGTATCTATAATTTATGAAGTATTCATGCTGTTATTTTATCATTCTTGGATGTTTTACAATCATTTATAGCAACTTTATATCATTTTTTGGGACTAACCTATTGACCCAGTGCCCAATGCCAGTTGTTGTTTTTTGCTTGTTTTTTACATCGCAAGAAATCAATATCAAACGAAGTCCAAACACCACGAAACTTTTTGGAGATTTTTTTGGACCAGAAGGAACCCAATGGGCCAAAGCTGCACCTGTGGGTGCCCCAAGGGGGCACAACCCTCCAGGGCGCGCCAGGGCCCCCTGGCGCGCCCAGGTGGGTTGTGCCACCTCGATGGCCACCCGCACCCCCTCTTTGCACTATAAATTCCCAAATATTTTGAAACCCTTCAGGGTTAATCTAGATCAGAAGTTCCGCCACCGCAAGGCTCTGTAGCCACCACAAACCAATCTAGACCCGTTCCGGCCCCCTGCCGGAGGGGGGGAATCATCTCCGGTGGCCATCGTCATCATCCTGGCGGCCACCACGATGAGGAGGGAGTAGTCCACCCTCGGGGCTGAGGGTTTGTACCAGTAGCTATGTGTTTAATCTTTCTCTCCCGTGATCTATATCATGGGCTTTGGTAATATAGATGAATCATATGATGTTTCTCCCCTCTATACTCTTGTTGTGATGAATTGAATGTTTACACTTTGAAGTTTTGTCATGTCGGATTGAATATTCAGATTTGAGAACACATGATGTATGTCTTGCGGTATGAATACTTAAGGTGACAATGGGGCATCATATTGATTCACTTGATATACGTTATGGCACTCAACTTGCAGATTTCCGCAGTGATATTGGGGTAATCTATGCATAGGGGTTGATGCACGTTTTTATTTTCTTTTCTCCGATAGAAACTTCGGGGTCTCCTTGTAGTTCTTTGTGTGGATTGAGTATTATGAATATGAATTTACTTTGGTGTTATTTTAGTACGAACTCTTGATTAGATCGATCGGAAAGAATAGCTTCCGTTATTTTAGTATGAACTCTAGGATAGACCGAATGGAAAGAATAGCTTTGAGGTGGTTTCGTACCCTACAAACAATTTCTTCTTTTGTTCTTCGCTAATAGGAACTTGGGAGTGATTCTGTATTGCACTTTGAGGGATAATCATATGATCCAACTATGTTAGCATTGTTGAGAGGTTGCACTAACGAAAGTACGGACCCTAGGCTTCATTTTCAAGCATTGCAATACCGTTTTTGTGCCCGTTTACTATTTTCTACCTTACTGTTTTTATTTATTCAGATTATAAAATATATTTCTACCATCAATATTACACTTTTATCACTATCTCTTCGCCGAACTTGTGCACCTATACAATTTGCCATTGTATTGGGTGTGTTGGGGGACACAAGAGATTTCTTGTATTTGGTTGCAGGATTGTTCGAGAGAGATCATCTTCATCCTACACCTCCCACGGATTGATAAACCTCAGGCTATCCACTTGAGGGAAAATTGCTACTGTCCTACAAAACTCTGCGCTTGGAGGCCCAACACGAGTCTACAAGAATAAAGTTACGTAGTAAACATCAATGGTGTTGGAGACGATGATGAGTAGCACCGCCCGACTTGGACGAAAGACGAACCGTGATGAAGAAATTGAGCAGTCGCGCAAAGCGCTTCCCAAAAACCTAATTTGTCCTCTCCCGGTGCAGAATCACAAGGACGAACGGTTATAGAGACTTGCTCTCTCTCATGCCGATGCACAACAGGGTTCGGATGAAGTAGACTACGGTGTCGGGCAAGTTGCGAGATGAGGCAAAACCCTAGGTGTTTTCGACGTGTCTTTGGCCACGGCCGGTAGCGGTATAATAGGACCAGAGGCGGCATAATGTTGATCATGATCTCAAACCAACAAAAAGAAGCTCCGCCCATGCAAGGCAACAGACCGGATTTTGACGGATCATTCATGCGCATGTCACATGCACGTGTTATCTCCTATTTCTCTCCTCAACACATCATTTAGAGTGGTGGAGAGAACCACTGTATAAAGAGGCCCAACACTTTCTCAACTAGTGGTATGAGACTAAACTTTAGTAACTCATGGGCTGATTTGAGATTTCAGAAATTGCTAATGGGCCAAGCCCATTTCTAAAAATTACTATCTGTCTTGCAATGCGAACTCGTCCAAATCACTGTTTTATCATTGCACATAAATCTATTAGGAAAGATAAAAAATAAAATGATATGTACACAATTCGCCATTTTCAGGCGTTGTGCGTATGTGCTTCCTTCCTTCATTTCGCTATATTTAGTATAGATAGTGTTATAAAAATCATAGAAAGTTGCTCAATAGTTTTTTTTTGAGGGGTGCTCAATAGTTAGATTGAGTGTTGCATGTGCGTGTTTACTAGTTAAACAAAAACAGAACATGGTCAGATTTTCCTGAGTGCTGAAACTCGGGGAACCTTTTTCTTGGAACGTATGCCGAGATCAGAACTCGGAAATCTTCATTCAGCTGTTAGCTCGCTCTCAACATTCGCTGAGATTCTGATGTGGTGAATGCGACAGGGAGTAGAAACCGAGCAACCGGAAGAGCCACATGTCGGGCTCCTATTCGATAGGACTCTGTCGAGTCCCGAACTCGGTAGAAGGTTTGCTGAGTTTCGACCAAGGAGTACTCGGCAACAGCAGGGGACTGAGTAGTACGAACTGCCACACGGCACATTTCAATTCAACGCTTGTCTGTCGAGTTTTTCCCACCAGAACTCGGCAGAGCTTTGTACCATGTGGCATGGCATCTCTGTCAACGACCATCTCGTCTGACGGTGTAGTTTGCCGAGTTCTCTTTCTGCCAAAACTCGGCAATGCGAGCCTGAATGTTTGCCGAGTTCCCGACTCGGCAAATTTAATGACTGCTGACCCGTGTCCAGCCGAGTACAGAACTTAGAGAAGAAGTCGCCGAGTTTTTTTTTTTTGCGGGGATTATGTGCTCTGCCGAGTTCCCAAGAAACCTGGCAAAGTAGGCGAATCCAGTAATGTGGAGCATGCGCATGGTGATCCTACATTGGCACTGAGCGCACGGACCGAGTCCTCGCACCGCCCGATAAATAACTCCATGTGATAACAAACTTGGCTTATAACAGAAAAACTTGCTAAGCTAGAGGTAGATTATTCCAACACCCCCACCCCTCACCACCACTTCGTTTGCACCAGAAGTCTTGAACCATGTGTTTTATTGTTGTGCTAGTCTTTTCCTCTCTTTTTTGGAAGGAGCTTGCCCTCCAAAAAGTCACTTTGGTACCCGGGTGCATTGGAGCCCTATTTTTTGAACTATGCCAAAATGCTATTTTGAAGTTTCAAAAAATTTTGAAAACAAATCAACATGTTTATATGAATGTATGTTACACATGTGTAAATTTTGATGCTGAAATAAGTAACCATGTGAGTTACACAAAAATGACAAAATCATGATTTTGGAAACATGAACAGTGCATGTATTATTCACTATTTGAAAATCACCATTTTTGTCATTTTTGTATAGGTTGTATTACTTATGTCATCACCAAACTTTACACATGTGTAATATACATTCATATGATCACGTAGAATTTTTTTCGGAATTTTTTGAAACCTTTAAATGTGATTTTCAAAGTATTTAAAATAAAGTCCTCTAATACATCCGGGTTCCAAAAATCCACTCTCCTTGCCCTCGGCCTAGTATTATTTTCGCGTCTTCAATTTACATTGCATATGTATGCCGCACCCACCCCACCAACCATCATCCAACATCTCGGATATGGAGTAAATGCGACTGTATGTCTCATCAGGTTTCAAAGTAGTAACCTAAAATTAATGGCATGGGAGAGGGCAGAACCCTTGTGGCCATCGACAGCTGAAGTCCCACGGCCAAGGGTCTCTCTTCCCAACTCGACCCAAATCTGCTGCGGATCCTCCCGCAGATCGCGAGGTCTGCCCATGGAGATGGAGAAATGGGCTGCTGGAAGAAGGTACCGATCCCTGTCTCCTCCCGCAGTTCTTGATTTCCGTTGGTTTTCGTCGTCTCTTGCTTGCTAGCTCGGAGCAGATCATGTTGCAACTTGCAACTTGAGATCCGCTCAGCACTTTCTTCTGGGTGGGATTCGTGTAGCAGAACTTTATCAGAATATGGATTTAGTTTGGGTTCTTCTGGTGGGCTTGTAGAGAACTAATAACATTGGAAGATCCAGTTCAAGCTAACTTCGCTTTCGCCATGTGGCTTGACCTAAACCTTTTCCTAATGAAAAGAAAATGTAGCTAAGTAATTAGCAGCACAGGGGGGACGGGGGGTCTGGCGAGGTGCAGGCGCACAGGGGGAGGCCTTCACTCCGCCGGTGCACCATGTTTGGAAAATGTACATGGTAGTCCTGAAAGTCTTTCAACTCCATCTTCTTAGCAAGCCAGCGAAAAACGCCGTCGATCTCATCGTTGCAGAAACTGCAGTGATGAATAGTTGCAAGTCTCATGCTAACTTGGCTGTAAAAGTCTCACACGTCTTGGCCCATATTACTTCTGGAAAATCTGGATATCTTACTTGCTTGGGTCGGTTTAATTATGTAGCCAAAGATATGAGATTGGATTCATACAATATTGTTGTGCATACTAGCTCTTTGATTTTGTCTATTCTTAGTTTATGGATTATAAATCTTACTTGCTAGCTTGGGTCGGTTTAATTATGTAGCCAAAGATATGAGGTTGGATTCATACAATATTGTTGTGCATACTAGCTCTTTGATTTTGTCTATTCTTAGTTTATGGATTATAAATTTTATAGGCATGTGTTCAAATTTAATTAACTTCAAAAAATCTGCAGGATGGCACTGATCCTTGTGCTGCTGTGCTGCGTTTTTGGAGGAGATGCGTACGACGTCCTCGACCCAACCGGCAACATTACCATAAGCTGGGATTTCCAGGAAATAAAGGAAAGCTACAAGCTAAAATTGTTGCTGCTTAGCTTGTAGTCTATATATTTACTCTAATGTCTCTAGAAAAAGGTATCTTCTTAGAGGAAATTAATTGCACAAACACATAACCTATATGCATGGCTGAGGTAACACAAAACCTCAACTATAGGGATTTTCATGTTTTAGTGACTAGAGGGACCAACATTAAAAAATACAAAACTTCTAATTAATTACGTAGCCCATGTTTTCGTGACTAGAGGGACAGCCAATTAAGCTCAGCGCTTAGCATTCTGGAAAAATTTAAACATTTCAAAGCTTAAAAAATCTGAGCTTTTTAAAAAATATATCTGTTTTTCCGCTAAAATCTGAAAAAAAAATATTATCTTCCCTGATCAATCTGAGAAAGTTTTAGGCCATTTTGGAGTATTTTTTTATGATCAAGAATAGATAAGTTAAACTTTAAGCCAAATTTGGCTGAATCTTACAAAAAAAATGTCCAAACTTTAAAATTAGTGGACAAAATGGGCTGAAGTTTTTTAGATTGATCGATGAAGGTGATTAGAATTACTGGAATTTTTTTCAGATGTTATGAACTGTTTCATAATATTTTGATTTCTTTTTGTAGCAATTGTGACATTTGATAAACTAGTAAAGAAAGGGTTCTATATCAATGAGAGCTAACCGTACCAAAATCTCTATTGCATGCAGGTCCTGGTTAGCCTGCACAACTACCAGCTCTACCGCCACGTCGAGGATCCAGGGTGGAGGCTGAGCTGGTTCTGGGCCGGCGACGAGGTGATCTACGACACGACCGGCGCAGAGGCAACCGAGCAAGGCAACTGCAGCCTATTTGTGGGCGCCCACAGCTGCGAGAAGCACCCGGTGATGGTTGATCTGGCGCGGGGCGTGCCATATGCCCGTCAGGTGGACCACTGCTGCCGGGGCGGGGTGCTGTCCTCGCTGACACAGAACAGCGAGGCGGCCACCTCGGCGTTCCTCATGCACGTCGGCAACTTCAAGTCCTCGAGCGACGGCATCCCCCAGAAGCCTTTCAACTTCAGCCTTGGGGTGCCTGGCTATAGGTGCAGTAACGCTACAATGGTAGCTCCAACGAGGACTCGGATCGGCAAGCACCGGCACGTCCAGGCGCTGAGTACGTCTTCTTCTACTAGTCTATCTAGCATTCTAGCTTCATCAGTTTCCTTAGAATGTTGATTTGATGAACTTGAATCGGTCTAGTCTATCTATCTAGCTAGCATAATCTGGACGTACGAGGATAGTCTATCTTCAAGGTGATCTATCTAGCATAATCTATCTACCTAGCTGTTGATTTGATGAACTTCAATCAGCCTAGTCTATCTTTAAGGTGATCTGCTGTCTAGCATAATCTGTCTAGCTAGCTGTTCATTTGATGAACTTCAATCTGTCCAGTCTATCTAGCTTCATCAGTATCAGGCTATCTCTGATCCATTATCTACAGAGTTACTAGCTTGCCGAGATGCTGTTCTTTTTGCCATAGAAAGTGGTCTCCAAGATGTCGTTGTAGAAATTGATTGTCAGGAAGTTTTTAATCTTTTATTTTAGAATCATCAGTTTCCTTTAGATTTATGTTTTGAGCAAATCAGTTTCCTTTAGATTTTTTTTAGGTGTATCAGTTTCCTTT